TGTTACAGTGCATAAAATATCCTCCCCAAGGGGTCTAGTTGCTGGTCTGGTTATTTCATAAGAAAGAATTTGTCTCAGAGGAGCAGCTGTGTTGTACACACTTGTATCCAGTTGCTTTACAATTGTCACCACCACCCTGGTCTTAGCAGGAGCCTCCCAGGTCCACTCCATGGCAGTTGCTCACCCAGTGCAGATCAAGCACGGCGCAGCTGGACACTGCTGCCTCTGCCAACCGCACGCCCTGACCGCTGGGGCTTTCTGAAGCCCGGCTCCACCACCCTGCGCGTCTGCCCCCATCCCAGAGCCGCCGGCCGGTCTCGGGCTGTCTGCTCCACCACCGGGAATGACGGCCTGGGCCGAGGGGCAGGGGCTCCATCCTACCGGTCACCTGTGCAATCGGTCATTTAATTGCAATGGGTAATTTAATTATCTGTGAGAAGACAGAGGGAGATGCTGAGCTGGGGGGGCATGCCATCTGGAGGCCAAAACCAGGCCACGCACCGGGGGCCAATTACAGCCTTAAACCCCAGATTTTGCCCTTAGAGGCAGGCCTATCAGCCCGGCAGATTTATGTTATAGCTGTGGGGTGTTTGTTATCGCAGCGAGATAAAGCGCCTGGACTAAGAACAGTGATACGTCTTGCCTTCAATGAGCTTTGCTCTTGGCAAGCCTTGTAGTAGCAAGAGCTTGGCACAGTGCCGTGACCTGTCCTTCAAACAGCAAAGCCAGTCACTCCTACGGACCAGATTTGTGGTGAGGCTGCCAAGGCAGGTCTTCCTTGAAATAATCACTGTGTGGGGAACCGGGGGGAGAGGGAGCCGTGGGGTTGGCTCGGGGGAGGGCCAGGGGAAAAGGAGGCCCAGCTGCAGAGAGATGGGAAGGGGCTGAACTGCAGAGCAGCGCTCGCCCAGCACGAAGCACCCCCTGGTCTGCGCTCGGCCCCCGCCGGCTCGCCGCACGCCTCGCCAACGCAACAGTCGTTGCAGGCGCAGGGTGTGCACAAAGCAGCAGGGACCCCGATGACAGCTCCCAGTTGCTCCTGCGATGCAAACCCCCCACAGTGAGGACACGGTCATGCACTTAACCGCAGGACTCCAGCCGCTTGGCAGGGCACCGGACTCTATGCCCCTGACTTCATCTGGGCCTCGGTCTCTCCATCTGTAAAACGGGGCGATGCTTCTCCACCTTTGCAAGCACTGGGGTTAAATTCTGGCTCCATGGAAATCGATGGCAAAACTCCCACTGTCTTCAGGGGAGCCAGGCTCTCCTCCAAATGCACTATTGGGGGGATTTTCAAGGGTCCAGGAGCAGCCAAAGTTTCAGGTGGATGCTCCTGTGTGCTCTGTCAGTGGGCGCCTCAATGCAGCCTCCAGGGATGAGTTTAGGAGGAACAGTTGCACCAGGATGGGCAGAGCTGCAGCTGGCCGGAGTGGTAGCACCATGCTGCCCCAGTGCTGGGCATCCGTGCATTTAGCCCCATCCCTGAGAGAGGCAGGTGGTGGGTAGCACCCCGCTGTCGGGATGGAGGAGCTCCACTGCACGACCGGGAGACTTCAGCTGGCAGAGAGAGGAGGAGACAGAGCAGGGAGCAGCGCAGGAGAGCTCAGGCAGCTGACCAGCCCTTCATACGCACCATTATCACCAAACAGAAGGGACACGCGTCGGCATCGCAAGGGGAGCGTGGGACAGAAGGGAAACAGCATCCTGCAGCAGCCTCCAAGCCATCCTCCCAGCTCGCTGGGCCCAGTAACACCTCGCGAGGCTCCAATGGCATCTCTGAAACCACGAGGAGCCCTGTCGACGGCCACCCCATCTTCTGAGCAGCAAGCAGCGGGGCACTGATGGGCAGACCCGACCCAGCGCCACGTGAGCACAGGCTGGTGAGAAGGATGCAGCCACGTGCGCTGTCAATGCAGGGACTAACTTTGAAGGCTGGCTTCAGTTTCCATAGATAAATGGTGCAGAAAGCAACAAAGCAGCCAACAAGGGTGCAAAGTTTTCTGCCAGTGCATTGTGCTGGGAATCAATGCGCTTGCTGCAAAGGGGCATTAAAGGTGAGCAGGAGAAGGAAGCGCTTTGAAGAGGCAAAAGGGGCAGAGAGTCGTGCTTTTATCTCTGCTTTCTCTTTGCTCTGTGGCATCCATCAGCCTCCCAGCTTCTGCCCTCAGGTCATCTTTTAATTGAAATGACCCCCACTTGGCACGGGGCAAAGACAAAGAGCTCAGCATATGCATGGGCAAACCCCCAGTCTGCTGCACCATACACCACAGCTCCTTGCCACAGTGTACACCAAAAGCACCACAAAACCCTGTCTTTAGAGAAAGAGGAGTGGGGTGGGGGTTTGAAGAAATGAAGGAGAAAATAAAGCAGCGAGAGTGAACACACCAGGGCTGAAGAGTCCAGCCAGGTTCAGGGGTGCGCTGGGACTCAGCGTGGCACCAAAGCACACATGGAAAGCCAAGCACCTGCACACAGGCGTTGCTGACCACGGGGTCCGAACAAACAGAAGGCAGGGTGGATTTGCACCTTATAGACTAAATAAATCAGAGATAGATATAGATGTATAATAGATACAGATATATAATAGAAATAGATATATTGATATAGCTATATAATGAATCTCTGAGGTATATACACATACATATATATATCTATTTATAGCGATATAATGAATCTCTGATATATATATATATATATATATATATAATACACACACACACACACACACACACACACACACACACACACACACATATATACACGCACACACATACATCTATCTAGATAGATAGATAGATAGATAGATAGATAGATAGATAGGTGTGTGTGCGTGTGTGTGTATATATATATATCAAAGATTCATTATATATCTATATATATCTATAGATATATAGGTGTGTGTATATATATCTCAGAGACCATATATATGGTCTCTGAGATATATATATATATATGTATGTATGTATGTGTGTGTATATAGCTTCTCTCTCATATATATATACAACCTCTCTCTATATATATAGCCTCTCTCTCTCTCTCTATATATATGTATACCCTCTATATCTATATCAATATTGATATCAAAATCAAAGTAGATATATGTCTCCAACACAGGTAGTCTACGCTGCCGTCTGCCTAGCTCCAGACTAGCACAGCGAACTCCTCTGTCTGAATGAACTCCGTGCAGGTCAAGGGGAAGCTTTCCGGTGCCTTCGGCGGGGTTTGGCTCAGGCCGTCCAGCTGCGAGCCCTTCCAGCCAGAGCCCCCGCGCGCCGTCCCGGTGGGACAGGCCTCTCCCCTCCGCTCGCAGCAGTCAGCGGCTGCGGGGCCTTCGTGCAGAGTCCTGCTCTCGACTTCCACCCACGTCTCAGCAGGGGATTTCGGTGCTTCTCTAGCTCCATCTACAGCTGCTCCCTCTCACGGATGAGAAAGCCTTGTGCAAACCAGCGGGCTGAGCCTCTGATGAGGCACGTGCGCTGCTGGGGTCGCATGAAACGCTACTCCTCGGGCATCCAGCACCCAGCACGGAGCTGCTGGTGGTTTTATTGAAGCGGGCTTGGTACCGCTCTCTTCCCCGGGGGCTCCAAGCAGGGCTTTACATCCTCTTGAGACAACCGATGCGTTGGGTAGCAAAGAGAAAATATTGCTTTAACATGCACCGTTAGAGTCTTTCTCGGGGGATGCAGCGATCATCATTGCTGTTGTTCGCTGGGCACGTTCTGGCCCTGCCCCAGTGCCCTCCTGCCCTGAGGAGCCAACGAAGGGCACAGGGGCACCAGGCTTACCACGAATCGCGAATTCAGCCCCCGGCAGAGCTGCAACAAGAGCCCAGATCCCCAGGTCACAGCCCTACCCACTAGTCCATGCTGCCTCTTTTTTGCTCCACGTTTTGTGGGAGGGGGAACCGCCCCGGTGCCCCGGTGCATTACGGAGGCCGCCCTCTCCCGTGAGCCCCGTGCAGGCTGGCAGCAAGGCTTCGTGGGGGCTCGGGTCAGTCCTGGAGGTGCGAGAACGGAGCGCCGCTCAAGCCCGGTTTGGGGGTTCGTGTCGCTGGCCCCGAGCGGCCCTCGCCTCCGGGGGGCTGCAGCACCGGGCTGCTCCTACCTCGCGGAGGAGTCAGCTTGTTCCACCATGCAAACTGCAATTAGAGCGTCTGCCCTGGCACTTCGTTAAGACGGACGCTACCCGGTAGTAAATTCTCTGCTAAACGACCAAAACACAGCCCAGATAAAAGATTTTATGAGCACATAAATTCAAAAGCGTCCTTCCAGAGCTGTGATTAATGCCAGGAAATCTAATTATGAGAGACAAGATTTAAGCGGCAAAACTGCGACAGCGGTGAGACAGCGCGGGGCGCGGGGGCTGCAGGAGCGCTAGATAAACACTGCCCGTCGGGCCGCATCTCAGCCCTCGGTGTTATTTACAGGCTCCTCGTGTCCTAGAGGACACTTCTGCAGAGCCGAGCCTGGCTCCAGGCACCAGCAACGCTCCTGGGCCTCAGGCCAGCGCCACCCTGCAAAGGAGACCGACCGTCCCTGCCCGGGGCAGCTCCCCTGGCCCTTCCCTGAGGAGTTCCCAGTCTGGAGGATGAAGCGTGTTCGTGCCCTGGGTGCGGCCGTAGCAGGGCGCAGTACGGCACCACGACCGGGGGCTGGCACATCCGCTTGTTCTGGGTCCGTCCTGCTCTGCCGCAGCCTCGCGCGAGACTCCGGGCTCGGTGCCTGCGCCGGGAACAGGGCGACAGCTTTTCCTTCCTACCCGGAGAGCGTTCCCCAAGCAGGCTTTGCCAGGCCACGCTGTTCAGCGCCTGGCGCGGCCAAGCCCGCGGGTTTCTGCCTGTCGTGAGCCCGGGAGGCGGCTTACCTGCAGGGAGTTCAGCCCGATGAAGACGTACGCCCAGACGATGCTGAGGTGCACGAGGACCCCGCACACCCACGTCAGCCCCAGCACGGGCAGGAGCACCAGGACGGGCTTGGCCGTGGCCCTGTTAGGAAAGGAGGCGCAGACATTGGGGTCTGCAGGGACGGAGGGAGTCCCTGCCCCGCGTCCCTCCCACTCCTGCTTTCAACCCACGAGATAGATCCTGGCACCCTGCTGAGCCCTCTTTTGCTCCCTCTCTGCCCTCAGCCTGCAAAGCCCCACCGGTTCCCCGCCTTGGCTGGGCCCTGCGCCTTTCCTAGGTTATAGGGAACGTGCCACCTGGGAGGAGACGCCTCCATTTAAGAGGACGCAGCCTGGTTTTGCAGCCTAGGCAGAGCTTTAGATGCCGCTGGGCGCTCCCCTGGGATGTCAGGCCACCGCCGAGAGCCGTACCGGGGGGTCCACGCCTCCAAGATGGCATGGGTCATGCACCGTGTGCGGTGCCCTGCCAGGCCGGGGTGAGAGCCCGGGATGGTTCAGAAACGCATTCCTCTGCAAGCAAAGCATAACCCCTGCCCCTAGAGCCAGAGAAATACCACAGACGTTATCTCCCGGCACCCACTCCGCCAGTCCCGCTCCTTATTTATGATTGCGAGAGAGCCATAAGGGAACTCTTTGACATCACTAGGCATGAGAAAGCTGCCGGCCTCCCCCCGCCGCGGCTGCTCGGAGGGCTCCAGGACTAGTTGTATGGGCCTGTGCGTGTCATCTTGCCCTCCAACACCGCCCTATCTTGGTGGTTCTGTAAATTGAATAAAATTTATTTATGCAACTGGGAGAACAATGTGTGTCTATCAGGGGGCGCTGGCGCCAGCTAGCAACAATAATGATTCCCGGGCAGTGATAAAGGAAGGGCTAGGACAGCAGTTTTTGGAAGGTCTCTCGATGGCCTGTTTGCAGAAGCCCGTGGAGTATGCCCTTCCTCACACGCATGGGCAAGAAACCGAGCAGCGTATAGCCACCAGCCTCTCACCCTTATAATCCCAGGGGAAGGATTGTCCTGGCACCGCAGCTGTGGAAACTGGGGTGCAGAGAAATGACCACAGGAAACCTGGATACACCACGTGGCATCCAGCCCCTGACACGCAGCACCTCCCCGCCACGACTGGAGGTGCTGGATTTGCACGGGGGTCAGGCAGGATTTAACGCCACCGAAGGAAGTGGCGATGCGGCCGTCTTGTCTGTCGTTCCCTGGACCGCGCTGCTATCCTTGCTAGCGCTCCCCGAGGCATGTTTAAATTAATTCCACCTGCAGGCGAGCGCCACCTCTCAGGTCTTTGATTGATGAACCTAATGGTGGGCTCAGGAGCCTAATTTGAGACACCCAGGTTTGAAAGGGGGTCATCTCACCTCCTACCTGCCTGCCCATCACATGTATCCAGCCTCCTAAATGCCTCTTGGGTGGAGATGGAAAACCTGGATGGCGTTTCTGCCTCTAAAACCTGCTCGCAGCATATAGACTTATGCCAAAGGCCGCGATTCGGACCCAGCCACGTGCTGCACAGCTGGACGTCCAAGTCCATTCAGATGCAGCCATTAAGAGCAAAAGGAGCCTCTCCCTGCAAGCCTGGGCAATGCTCATTGAAACAAACCTAAGAGTCACCCTCTCCAACACCTCAAGCCCCACAGCCAGCACACACGGTGTAAGAAGCTCCCTGCCACGCACCCCAGGTAAAAGGCAGAGACAAGGGCCCTGCTACCATTGTGGCAGGGAAGCACGTGGCTAATGCCGTCTCCCGGCTCCAGAAGTCAGTAACTCACCAAATTTGGATGCCGATCTGCTTCTCCAGGGTGCTGTTGGGTGTCAACATCTTGGACCTCCTGCGAGCGGTCGACACCGTCACCATCACCACGCGGAAGAGCACGACCATGTTCACCTGCAAGCCAGAAAAGAGCCATCAGCCGTCGTGGATCTGAACAGGCTTTTGCATTTGGTGCAACGGCTCTGGTGCCTTCGCACAGCCGTACCTCCCTCCAACACTGCCTTCGACTCTGCTGACAAACTCACCAGCACCCGCCTTCACCTCAAACCCAGAAAACCGGCCCCACCAGGAATTGGCAGTAAGGGTCGGTACATACTATGAGGACGAAGAGAACCGGCCCGACGAAGGCCCAGATGATGTCGGTTTGGACGTTCAGCCAGCAGTGGTCGTCTGCCACGTACTTGCTAAAGGAAGTCGCTAGAGTCACGGCCACGATAAGAATGGGCAGGCCTGAGAAGACAGGACGGGCAAGGACGTGAGATGCGCAACGTGGCCTTTCCTGTGGGCTGTGCTCAGTACCTGGGGCCAGATCCCTTGCTGGCATAGGGCAGCATACCCCTGCTCTGTGCTAGGCAGGCATCTGGCCCAGACCCTTTTCCCTTCCCAAAACCAGTGGAAACGATGCTAAACCGGCTCACTCCCAGCATTGGCTTTAACCAGAAACAACCTCACCAGCAAAGGACAACACTATTGTTACCAGGCTCCTACCCTGGGGATCTTTAAGAGGAGGTTAGATGTGACCTTGCCAGGGTCGTTTGACCCCAGTACTCTTTCCTGCCATGGCAGGGGGTCGGACTTGATCTGCTCAGGTCCCTTCCAACTCTAGAAACTATGAAACTATGACTGTCCGGGATCCAGCCCCACTACTGAGCTTGATGTGTCCGGCCCAGACCAACTCCCCAGAGCAGACTGCATCCCCTGCCCCTGGGCCTTTCATGCAGACCAACCCAGAGCCTTCGTTCCCACCGCTCCTCTGCATATTATCCAGTGGCACTGACGTCCCAGAGCCCTCCCCTGCACACACTTTGCATTTGTCAAACAAAGGGTTGAAAAGAAAAAATAAATAGCTGCAACTAGAGCTCCAGCCTCTGCTCTTCCACACTGAAAGGTGAGACCATATCTGCGGATCAGAGCAAGGCAACATGCAGCCTGGGTCAAGACAAGTGCCAGCATGATTCGGTATTGGTCACAGGGAAGTCCTTTCTATGAGAGACACGGGTCACTTTGTGCCTTCGGCGCCACGTTTGTACCCACCCCAGCCAGTCGCGTAGTAAAACTTCATCCTCCGGTCCTCGCTCATGTTGACGGCCACTACCTTGCTCCACAGGAGAAGCCCCTCCACCAGCATCCACGAAAAGGCCGCCATGAAGAAGAGGTGGAGGAGAGCCGTGACAGCAAAGCACATAACCTGGCAGGACGGGAATTACAGGCAGCTTCAGCAGGCAGCAGAGATCTAGGAGGCTCAGCCAGTGGGACACGGCCCATACGTGCAACACGGAGCATTTGCACGTTCGTGCACTGATGTGCGGACTGGCACCAGGGGATGTCAACAAGGGGTGGAGGGCTGCAAGGACCAGGTCAGGACCGGACCGGAGAATGGGAAGCGCTGGCCATGTTGGTGGCAGCAAAGGACGGAGCTGAGCCCTGGGAGGACAGCCCGGCTCACTGTACCTGAGCACCTCGTTCATGCGCTTTTTCACCCTCTCTCACCCAGCGCAGCCCTGCTCAGCTGACGAGGGCACGGCGCGGGGTGCAAGGCAGCAGGTTGCAATGGCCTTTCCTACAGGCCTCTCTGGGGTAAAACCGACCATCAGACCCAGGGCAGTGCAATGCCTTGTATCCCTAATGCCGTGCACCGCGTGACTGTTCGGAAAGGGGCTGCTCTAGCAGCAGTGGCACAGCGTGCACCAGGCCTGACGGCCTCTGCTCTCTTCTTTTTGGCTCGCTCACCTGGTTGCTCTTGGCCAATTCACTGAACATAAGCAGCGCCTCCGCCGCAGCCAAGGCGAAGATGAGGTTCTTGTGCACTGTCGTGCGCTCGCTCTTGGGAACGCTGCGGGGGGAGAGGGAGCAGACCGCGATCACCCCAGCGCAGGGCTGGAGTCCAAGGAAACCGCGTGCAGCTTGGTTGCTGGGGACAGGCTCATCCCCCCCATGCGACCGCTGACCCCCGGGCTACCCGTCGCAGAGGTGTCGCTCCAGCAGGGTGGAGGGGGCGCAGACAGCGTCAAGGAAAAGAATATAAATGGTTGTTACAGCTGTTGGGGAGAGTCTCCCTGGACAAAGGGACAGAGGGCCATGGCTGGTGGAGGATTTCCTCCCTGCAGAGGCTGCACTGACCGTCATCAGCTCTTGGCTGTCAGAAAGCAAAACAACTAAGCAGCCCCTGTGCACCCGTCTCTGCAAAGGAGACTGGCCGCGGCCCACCTCCCTGCTTCCAGCCGGGCGCAGCCCAGCAGCCTGGAGCCGCTACTTGGGTGCTTCACACCTGCACGCTCCCTTTCCAGCACGCAAACCCCACACACACGTGCAGAGTCTCCCTACCCGACTGCCAGGAATAAAACGAACGTCACAATCAGGGCACAGAAGGACACGCCGCAGCCAATAAACGTCAGGGTCTTCAGCGTCGACTCCTCCTCTGTGCTCCTCTGCTCCAAACACAGGGACAAGCACAGGTGCCGTTTGCACTGCACGTTTTCTCTCCCGGGTCTATGGGGTGCAGCCAGTCCTTTGGCAGGGCCCGGGTCACTCACCTGCACCTCGTACACCTGCAGCAGCACCGCAAAGTTGGTCGTGTGGTTGCAGAAACAGGCCGTGGACTCTGGGTGAGACGTTACGATGGAGCAGCCCACGCTGGACCACGCTCCGCCGGTGTCTGGGCTGGCACAGAGCAAGGGGGAGACAGGGAGGCATACTGGGATACCACCACCCGACCCCAAATCATCCCCCCTCCCCACAGGGAGCAGCATCAGGATGATGCACCAAAGACTTCTTTCGAAACATGGACTTTCATGGGTCCATGAAACAACAGGCCAGGCAAGCCCAGCCAGCCAGTGACCCACAGCACAGGCTGAGCCCAGCTGTGGAGAGTGGGTCATTTGCCTACCACGGCTGTGATGGTGTTTGCACCACAGGAGTTTTGCATCTGGTGTAGCCCAACTTTGCCACAGCGGGTCTCACTGTGGGGAGATGTGGCTAATTTAGCCACAAGGAGCAGGTGCCGATGCTGGCTAATCCCACCCCAATTCAATCAGACGAGCGGTCTCTTTTGCCCTGCTTGCCCCACTCCTGATCCATACAGGACCTGGAACAACCCCTGGCTCACACTGCTGACTGCTTTGCGAGTCCACCAGCTCAGAGCCACTAGCGGGGCATGGATCTCACTGTATACGGTGCCCCGTGGCTGTCTTCTTGCAGAGGTAGCATCCTGTTCCTGGGAGCCCTTCCCCGTCCTCTCCCGTCCACATCAGCAGAGCTGGTTCCCTGCCTCCAGCCATTGAAAGACGCAGGCTTTGAGGAGCAGATCTGCGCATTCAGGGGAACCAGCGACCCCCAGAAACCCCTTGGCCCCAGTGCTCTCACTTCCACGATGCACAGCAAGAAAACACGGTCTGATGCCACGCGGTGCTAAGGGTGGGTTGCGTGCCTCCCCGTGAGGCTGCAACTCCTGGCCTGACCCTTCCTTGTCATGTGCAGCAGCTACAAGGAGCCAGGGCTTTACACCTTAGCCACACACACACCTTGAAAGCCCATTCACTTGCAAATAATATCTACAAAGGAAATCTTCCCAGGAGACAGCTTCATTAGATGCCACAGAGAGGCGAGAACAGGGATGTCTGCGGAGGCAGAGGGTAGGAGCCGACTTAGAGAAAGGCCCGCTTTGCACATGCACGGAGGGGGTGTAAAGCCACTGCCCTTGCAAGGACAGGGGGTCTGGTGTCTCAGTGACGCCACACTCCCGAGTGCAACAGCAACATGGGCGTGGGAACCCCCGACGAAGCCCTGGCAAGCCGTTTTGCAGTGCACGACGCAGCCCCGCCGACCCGCACGCATCGCTCTTTTTTTGAGCTGGGCCAGAAGAGCGACTTGCTGCTGGCACCATCCCTGGGGTGACACAAGGCTTCCTTACTGAACATTTCGGGAACACCCAAGATGAGTTGCATGTGCCTGGAGATGTTTCTGCTTTCTGCCCCTCGAGCGCCGCGGGAGAAAGCAGCTGCCTGTCAGGGCCATTCAGGAAAGGACGGGGTGCGTTAAAAGCTGTACTTTTTGCAGGCCTGGCGGTGAAGCCTGGCTTCTGGCCGCGTGGTTCTTTGCACCCTGTTCTCACCCCCACCCCGCCCCGGGGACAAATGAATGCACGGGCACTTTGTCTTACTATTGCAGCAAGAAAACAAGGAAAGCCGCTAACCGAAGACTCAAAACGGGAAGCGGTACCTGAGGCTGAAGTTCCAGAAGGCGCAGACGGGCTCCACGAGCTTGTCAGGCAGGTCCTGGGGGCAGAGAGGAGCATCATCCCGTGCACGAACACGGCACAGACCGGACTCGGGCGTGTCCTTGGCTGTGCCCGAGTTTTGCACCTCCCCTTACAAACCGGGTGGTGTCCGAGCGGTGTCACGAAAGGGCATTCAGGTGAGACGGGGAGGGCTCGGCCTTTCCCTCTCTCCCCGGGTACACGGGGAGCCCTTTTCGGTGGCTCTGGGCTCAGCTGGCCCCTTTGGGAGCACGAGCGCGCCATGCCGGGGTACCTGGGCGCGATGCTGGAGGCGGTAGCGCACGGCCGTACGGATCTCCTGGTAGTCGCTGAGCAGAGCGGAGGAGACGACGGCGGTGCCCACGCGGGTGCTCACGTACCTGTGGGGGGAGAGATGCTTGCCTGGCTCACAGCGATCGGGCCCCCTCCATCCCGCCTCGCTGCGGCACGGGCGGCGTGAGCCAGGCGCCAGGGTCCCTCTCCCTTCTGCTTTAGGGCGCTCCCCAGGATGCTGCGGGGGAAAGATTGGGGACAGCGAGGTGACAGGACCCGTCCCCCCGGGGCTACCCTGGCTGCGGAGGGGCAGGCGATGGTGCGGTGCGGGGCTCACCTCTGGCCCCCGTCGGAGGTGGCCGCATCCTGGAGGGCGTCCTGGCTGCTGCCGCCGGCGAGGAAGCGCTGGAGGGCGCAGTAGCCATACCACGCATTGGTCACGGTGACACTGCTGAGGCCTGAGCGGAGGGAGCTGAGTGGAGTCAGCGTGCACGCACCCACCCGGGGCATCTGCACGGCCCGCGAGCCCCCCGGGACGCCCTCGCTGCTGGGGACGCTGGCACGGACAGTTGCCCGCTGCCCTCAAGACGGGGCCTTCGCTCCATCCGCGTCACGGCACGTGGCCGTGACATTTTGCCGTGACTGCCCTGCTTTGCCCGCGGCAGGCTTGGGGGCTACGTCTGCGTCGTGTCGGGGCTGACGGCCGTCTTACGTCGAGTTTAGGTTATGGCTGCCTGGGATGGTTTGCACAGGGCCGATCCTACCTCAGGCAGGGGCCTGGACTAGGTGACCTGTGGAGGTCCCTTCCAGCCCGAAACCGCGAAGGTGAGCAGCACCTCACGCCGCAGCAAGAATAACCGCGCGTCCTCCCCCCGGGGGGTGCAGCGAGGACAGTGACAACGGGACTGGGAGAAGCTTGATTTCCAGAGCGCCGGGGGCCAGGAAAGCAGCTGGCATTAGCAGCTCTTGGTCCCCTGGCCTGTCCCCTCTGTTGCCCGCGCCCCTGCAGACAGTGGCACCAGGAGGAAAGGGGGGTGCTCGTAGGGGTCACTGCAGGGGGGCTGGGGGTGTTGAGAAGACAAGGAAGGTACCACCCGGTGGGGCAGGAGCTGTCCTTGTCAATCAGGGCTACAAGAGCCCATCTTCTCTGCGGGTCAGGGCGGTGGGGCACACGCATGTGCATGTGCCTGCACATGTGCCCTCTCCCATTTCCCTCGCGCCCAGGACCGCTTCCCTCCCATCTCCACGGGGTCGCTCTCAGAGAGGCCCGGGTAGGATGCAGGATGCAGCCCTCGCCCTACCTCTGGCTTTCAGCCTCGCCACTTCTTCAGCGGGCACCTCGATGAAGTCCGGCCCGCCGCCGCGCTGGCCTGGGATGAGGTACACGTCACTGCTGGGCTCCGGCCCGCTCAGCTCCACGGTCCTGACTTCGACTCCTACAGGCAGGGGACACTCAGGGTTACCGCACGCCCCAGAGCCGCTCGTGCGAAGTGCCCCGGTACCCCACTGCGCAGCACAGACAAGAAACCAGGCTTGGCCTCCCTGCCGGGATGCAGAGCTGCACGGAGCAGACGGCAGGGCAGGAAAGCACGTAGCTGGGCTGGCGGCTTCTGCATTTTTCTACCCAGATACCCGACGAAGAAGTCAGGCTGCACCCCAAGAAGTTGGGGGTTTCAAACCACGGAGGACCTCTCCTCCAGCCCGCGGGGAGAACAGACCCCCGAACACGCCGGGCACTCGGCAGCTCAGCCCGAGCACAGCCTGCCCACTCTGCTGCGGGGTCGCAGGGCCCCGGGCCCGGCTGCACCGCGGGGTCCATGCGTGGGTGCACAATGCCCTCGTGTGGAGGCCGCAGGAACGTCCCCCGCTCCCGAGCGGCTCCGGGGCCTGGCCGTGCTCGCCCGCCCCGGCTGCCACTGGCACCGGAGCCGCGGCCTGTTGCTGCGGACAGATCAGGAGCCCAGGCCTGAAACAGCCCATCGCCTCTCCAAAGCCAGGAAATGCCCCCAAGTCCTGGGGGCAGCTGGAGGGGGCTTCTCCCCCGTGGGGACCGTTCCCTCCCACGAGGGTGCCTGCCTTTTCCCCGCCCGAGACGATGGTGGCCTACGCCCCGCCGTTACCCCCGGTCACGCTCACCAAGGTTTCTGTGCCGGATGGTGACCGTGGTCCTGTCCACGCGCAGCAGCTGGTGGAGATTCGACGCCATCCTGTCCACGTTATCTACGACAGTCATCGGCCCCCCGATAACCTAAGAGACACACCACTCACCCGTGGGATTTTTAAGCCGGTGGATGGGACAAATCAAAGCCCGTTTCACAACACTGGAAGCTTTCTCTAAACTCCAGCTCCTGGAGTCAGGGGGTTACAGGGGCTCTCTCTCAGCCTGCCCCAGACATTTCTACACCTCCGGCAGCCGAGGAAACCTGGACGCATGAAACGTCCTGGCTCCAAATATAGCTGCCCTGTAAAGAAAACTCAGCTTAGAAGAGGAGTGCTACAGCTTTAGGACCTGGACTCTGCATTTCCGGACACTTCGAGCCAATAATGCAGCAGGACACATGCCTCCGCAGCCCTAAACCTGATAGCCCAGCAGGCGACCGGGTTGCACAGCTGCCACCAGCCCCCTCCGTACCTGACTGATTTCTGACCACCGCTCGGCGTTTTGTTCTTCCAGGATCAACCCTGCCACCTCCACGTAGTCCCGGCTCAGCTGCTCCAGCATCTCCAGCTGCTCTTGCTCCTGGACTTCGATGTCTGACACGTCCTTCAGGAACCGAACGATGCCAAGGAGGTCGGCTGGCTCCACGGGGGTTTCCTCCGCCCTTAGCACCGTCCTCAGCGCATCCAGGGCACTGACTGCTGCCGAGACGGTCACGTCTCGGACGTCGCCCAGGAGGACGTGCTCAGGAATCTGCCACGGGAAAGGCACTTTATCCCGCGGCAGACCTGGGCGATGGGCTACGTGCCCCCCCCGAGGCACAAGGCAGCTGCCTCGCCTGCCATCTGCAAGCTGGGGACTGGTGCAAAGTGCAGCAAGTGCTAGGCCAGCAAGACCTGCCCCTACCTGGGCACCCACACGCTCCCTAGCACAACCAGGTGCATCCCGGGCATGGGGTGCATTAGAAACCAGATCCTGGAAACCAGGCACTCACCACCGTAGCATTCGCCAGGGCATTAGCCTGACTGATGAGCGATGGGCTGGACTCTGACTGGGCCTTCTTCAGCTGTAAATATGCCGCTGAGGACACAACAAAACGTGCAGGTTGCCGCAGTCCCAGGACAATGATTAATGGGCTTGGATGGCCGTGCTTTGGGAGCAACCCCAGAGTCAGGAGGACACCCGGGATATGGAGAGAAGGGGTGTGGGTCATGGCCTGGGCTGGTGGGGGAAACACCAAGGTCTGACGTGTTTGACGCTTGGTTCAGATTTGATGCCTGTGCCCCCACCCCACGTCTCCCAGCCCGCCAGAGAGTGCCGCCGGGGTGCGGGCGATCCAAGGAAATGCAGATGTTAGTCAGCTGCAGATTAAACACCACAAGGGCAGGAGCGAGACCCTTCCCGCTGCAGAAGCAGCCGGGACGTGCTCGGCTCTAAGATGCAGCTCCTGCTCATTTCACCGGCCTTCGCTTCGGAGAGGTCGAAAAGGCTTTGGACTGGGACTATAAACTCGCCCCGGGTCGGGGCAGCATCTCCCTGAGCACGTGCGCAGCGGCCAGCTCGGGAGGGCCTGACCCCGGGCCCCAGCCCCAGGAGCCGTACCCTTCCTGTAGTGACAGACGAACGGCAGGGCTTGCAAACACGCTGCATAGCTGAATCTGCCACGGCCGGCCTCAAGCGCTCTGCACTGCTCCACGGGCCCTGTGGGGACACGCGCAGGCAATGGGCCTGGGCCGTCTGGGGAGGCACGCACCCCACCCCGCCGTCCCGCGGTCCGTGACTGCCCCGTGAGCCGAAGGTGGAGGAAGGCTCTGCGAACTACCGCCGCATTGCTGGGAGCAGCCTTTGGCTCTCTGGACGATCCCGCTCTCCTTTTGCCCCTGAAAAGACACCCACCCCCAGGGCTCCCCGCTCTCCATCACAGACGCAAACCGGCCCCTGCCTCTCGCACGGCCCTGGGGCAGAACAGCTTTGCCTCTTGAGGACGTAAGAGCTGACCCCAGGTCCATCACGCCTACTATTGCCGGTTTCTACTGCTCCTGCCCTCACTTGCAGCCTCCAGCATTTAAGGTCTAGGAAGTTCATATTCAGAGGCCGTGCCCCTCGCTCCTGTGCTCAATAGCTACTGATGCCCTTGCAGGTCCCCAGGGCCTATTGGCAAATTCCCCTGGGAACAAAGCCCCACCTGGGCAGAGGAGCTGCACCGTGGCCTCCTGCACCGTGGGCTCAATCTCCAGCGTGTAGCTGCTCCAGCCAAACACCAGCTCCTGCTCCACCAGGCGACAGGACCGGACCCTCTCCAGCTGCACTTCGCTGAGCACCTGCCGCCACACGTGCAGGTCCGTGAGGTTCCCGCTGAAGGACTCCTTCTCCTTGAAGGTGCCGCCGAGCGAGTCCTGGTCCTGTCCGATGATGAAGGTCCCGTGGCCGCGGACGGCCTGGGTGGCGGCCAGCCCGGCAGCGCACAACCCGGTGGCAGAGGCCTTCCTCTTCCCGTCGGCATACATGGCCCACGTCCCGTTGCGCTGCTGCCAGGTGACGCAGAAGTGATGCCATTCCCCGTCGCTCCGGAAGACGGGCAGGTACGGGGAGTGGTGCCCGTGGACGATGAGGGCGAACCGCACGAAGCCCTCCTCATCCCGGAAGCCGCGCAGCTGGAACTCGTTGATGAAAGCCGGGACGGCGTAGGAGAAGACGGTGGCAATCTCCGGGGTCCGGCCATCCCACTGGACGTGGGCGCAGGCTGTCACCGCCGGCATCGCCGGGAAGTCGGCCAGCACCTTCACGTACTTGGTGTCCGTCTTATTTCTGAAGACCAGGATTGGTGCCACGTGGACTCCTGGCAGGGGAACGTGCAACGCGTCAGCTGAGCTGGGGCAGGAATGCGGGCCGCATCCTTCCCACCTCTCCCCAGTATTCAAGCCGCACCATCCCCACAGCAGCTAAGGACCCCCGGCCCCTGTCCCTGGATGTGGGGGGGTTAGCGGCTGCTTCTAGAGGGGATGGGGCAATTGCCTAGAGGCAAAATTCAGAGCTGCCTTGGTTGGAAGGGACCCTGGGAGGTCCACCCCCCTGCTACAAGCAGGACCAGCCCCAACTACATCCTCCCGGCCAGGACTTTGTCTACCCGGGTCCTAAAAACTTCCAAGGATGGAGACTGCACCACCGCTCTGGGTAGCCTTTCCCAGTGAGAAAGATGGCCTCCTAGTGAGAAAAGTGTTTCATACTCACGTCTCTGCCTCGGCTTGTGCAGCAAGGAGTCCTCATTGACCCAGACAGGGCTTTGCACCCCGTGGGACTGCAGCAGCCCGCTGACAGGAGCCAGCTCGCTGTCCTGCGTCTCCAAGAGCAGGCGAGCAAAGCGCTGCTCGCAGTATCTGTCCGCGTGCCACCAGTCCAGAGGTGCAGCCACATATTCGTATACAGCTCCCGCGGTCTCCAGGGTGGCTGGAGTGAGACCTGAGAGGGAGGCGTGAAAACTGGAGTGTGCACTTGGGTTTAGCACCATCCCAGCCAGTGGGTCACAGGTAGGGTGGCAGAGAGCACTGAAGAGCACCTCCTGCCCCATGTCCCCCATCGATTTCCAATGCCCTGATAACACCCGCTCCATGCCACACATTCCCTCGTGCCAAGGGGGGTCCACCAGGCACGGCAGCCCCTGGCAGGACAGCTGTGCATGGGCAGCTCTCAAAGAGCCAAGGCAGAATTGCACACAGTGCCGCTGGTAAATGGGGACAGGCTCCGGCAGAGAGGACACACAACCATCTCTGGCCTAAGACGAGGAACATCTGACTGCTCTGCTGAAGCAGGTGTGTCCCAAAGTGCTGCCTTTCTCCAGATCCAGCCCTGGGATATCCCAGACAGTGGTAACATCAGGATAAATAAACAAATAAATATTACACACACACACACACACACACACACACACACAC